TTATTAAGTTCTGAATTCCCAGGTTTTTCACTATTCTGATTCCTATAAGAGCCACCATTACTTCAGCTTTGTAGAGTCAGCCAAACCAATTGGACCACTGAAAGTCCCCCTTTCATCCCTTAAACAACCTCCAATTCCAGCTAAACCAGGATTGCCTGAAGCGCTTCCATCAAAGTTTAGGGTCGTCACACCTTCATTGAAAACATGTAGTTGTCTCAAGCTTGCTTGTTGAGAGTGTGGATGAAACAGAAAGGTATGAGCATCTATGTTGATGTCATTGACTGAGACCTCTGAACAGATCCGAGTTGACATCCCAGAGGTTACAGAGGCAAGTGATGATGTCTAAGGTCAGCTCGTCAATGGGCCTGGATTTTTTGTCAAACAGGCATTTGTTTCTTTCCTCCCAAACTCCCCACATTACTATATGTAGATTGTAGTATAGTTTGCCAATAAACTTTGACTCTTTTGCTTAGTCCTGTTCCTCGCCACTGATGCACAAAATCCAGAATATGCCCTGAGAATACCCAACTGTAACCAGCCAGACTCAAGAATTTTTTTTTATAAGTAAAAATAAAAATATATATATATTAAAGAGAAAAAGAGGTTACAGCAAATAGGTGACAAGACGTCACCCGAATACAAAGACCAAAATTCAGATTAAAGAACATTCTCCACAGTACATATCTGAAAATCCAGGAATTCTCCTAATCTAAAACCCAAGTCTTCTCTTTCTGCTTGGCTGAACTCTGGAAGAACCAGCAACCAGTCTACCACTGATCTGCCCACAGCCGCAACCATCTTGTCCGTGCTGCACTCTTTATCATCAAATATCCTTCTGTTCCTCTCCTTCCAAATGTTCCAACAGATTGCAAATGGTATGCAGCTCCATAGAAAATTTACCTTCTTGCTCCCAGTCAGCCTGGGCCAAGTAGAAAAGATTTCTGCTGTTGAAGCTGGGTGAAAGTCTGAGGCCCCAAACATAGATGTGAATACTTTCCATAAGAAGCTTGAGAACTTACAAGAAATGAATAGGTGAGTAGTATCCTCTTCCTGCCCCTCACACAGACAGCATCTGTTAGCCATGCTAAAGCCTCTAGATTTCAGGTGATCAACTGTCAATACACTGTCCATGGCTACCAACCAGGCCAAAGCCTCAACTCTTGGGGGGACTAGGTTTCCCCAGATGCCTTTAATGTGACTTGAGGCTGAGATAGAACCACTGAGAGCCATATAGCATGACTTAACTGTGAATTTTCCATTCTTCCCCTCCTTCCACCAGAGCTTATCTCTCTGCAGAAATACAGGTTGTGTCCCCTCAAGTTTTTCTAATAGCAGGATGCATTCTTCAACTTCCCTGTCCAGCAGAGGCCTCCTAAATTTTGGGCTCCAAATCAACTGGTCCTCCCTTCTTTCATAACATTCACTTAGTGATCTCAGTCTCTGATAATCTGTACAGCGTCGGGCATAACTCGCATAGCTTACCCACCCTACACTACTCATCCTCCTAAAATCTGATTTTAGAACCATGATCCCCTTCCAAACCCCGTATGAAGTTCTCACCCTCCTTGCTTCCCAGCCAAACCTTACCATTCCATATTTCCCAGCCACAGACCTCCTCCGCAGTGAATTCTCTTCTCTTCCTAAATAAAACCTCCACAACCATTTCCCCATGAGTGCTCTATTAAAGATTCTCATCTCCTTATCCCAAGCCCACCCTTCTCCTTTGGCAAACACACCTTATCCCAGCGTACTAAGTGAAATTTCTTACCCCCTCCTCTTCCAGCCACACCTTCCCAAAGAAAGTCCCTCTGGAGCTTCTCGATCCTTTCAGCTACCTTAGGTGGAACCTTTAGTAGAGACAAGTAGTATGTTGGAAGGCTAGATAAAACACTTCTGATTAGAGTCACTCCCCCCCCCCCCAATGGATAGATATTTGTCTTCCCACCCATCTAGCCGTATCTCTACTCTCTCTCCAAGAGAGGTTTCCACAGATTTACTGATTTCGTTGCACCATCAATCGGCAAACCCAAATAAGTGAAAGGGAGCACACCAATCCTGCATTCCAAGACATCAGCACACTCCCTCAACACATCCCTCCCCACCTCCCCAACTGCAATTATTATGCTCTTTGAAAGGTTAATCTTCAGACCTGATAACAACTTGAAGTTTGCCAGCATTGCCCTCAAGTCCAGCAGCTGTCCCACCTTTGCACCCAGAAAAATTAGAGTATCATCTGCATATTGCAGATGAGTAATGCAAGGTCCATCTCCTCCTACCTTGAAATTCTCAATTAAGCCCAATTGACCACTTTTCTCTAGAAATAAGTTCAATATCTCCATCACCATGACAAACAACAGTGGAGACGCAGGATCCTTGCCTCAATCTCTAGAAGCCTGAAAGATGCATGCAAACATCCAAGCCCTCCACTTCTCCCCAAACCCCATCAAGCTTTGTATTTCTTCTAAGAAACCCCACTCCACATGATCATAAGCCTTCTCAAAGTCAATCTTACAAATCAGGCCTGGTCTACCACTCCTCAAGCGGGAATCAATGCACTCACTAGCCACTAGGACCCCATCCAACATCTGCTTCCCCTCTACAAAAGCCATTTGAGCTTCACCAACCACTTCACGGAGCACGCTTCTTAACCTTTTGGACAGAACCTTAGCCAGCAGCTTGTACGGGCTACAGATTAAGCAAATAGGCCTAAAGTCCTTCAACTCCACTGCACCTTCCTTCTTAGGAATTAAGGAAATGAAGGTGGCATTCATCATTTTCTCTAGAATCTTCTCTCTGTGGAACTCCTTGAACATTTGCTCAAAGTCTTTCTCAAGCCACTCCCAGCCAGCCTTGATGAAAGTAAAATTGAACCCATCTGGACCCAGTGCTTTGTCTCCAATGATACCTTTAAGAGCTTCTCTGATTTCCTCTGACCCAAACTCTCTCTCCAACCACATAGCAGAATTTTCACACATCATTTTTGGTGCCAGATCTCCAAGTGTTAATTCTCTCCTTATCCTTGATGTGTACAATGTTTTGTAGAAACCTATCACCTTCCCCTGAATTTCCAACCAGTTTTCTATCAATTCCCCTCCTTCCTGATTCTTGAGATGAAATTTCTCCTCCTTCCATTGGCATAGGCGTGAAAGAAAGCTGTGTTTCTATCCCCTGCTTTTAACCAAATCATTCTGGACTTTTGTCTCCAGCTCTCATCTTCTCTGAATATCAGATTTTTCAAATCTGACTCCAGCCACCCTCTCCTCCCTGCGCAGAAGCCTTGATTCTTCCCATTTGTCCAACCTCCCCAGCTTATCCACAATCGCCTTCCTTAATTCAAACCTGCCAAACACTGAGACATTCCACTTCTTGATTTCTTCTTTTAGTAGCTGAAATTTTCTGGCTAGTCTGAAACCTGCCAATCCTTCCACCTGGAAACCCTCCCATTTTTCCTTCTCCCACCCTAAAAAATTTTGGTGTCCTAACCAAATGTTCTCAAATTTAAAAGGTCTTGGACCACTTAGTGCTATAAGCTGTCTCGACACAACAGGTTTATGGTCTGACATCAGATATGGCAATGCTTCTTGAATCATATTTCCTACATATCCCTCCCAGTCTTCATAGTACAAAAACCTGTCAAGTCAAGTCTTCTGAGTATTGCTGGGTCCTGCTCCTGCCCATTCTTCCAGGTAAATTTGCACCCATTTAATGGGGGATCTATCAGGCCATTTCTTCGGATGAAGTTGTTGAACCTTCTCATTGTCACATTCTCGCTTCCCTCCCTTCCCCCCTTCTCCTCCCCCATCCTTCTTATTGCATTAAAATCACCCCACCCCCCCAAAGGCCAGACTCAAGAAATAGAACCATATCGTTTGAAAATTTACAATGAAGAAGAATGTGATCAGCTGATTCACCTTCATTTAGGCATAATAAGCAAGCATGAGGACAGATAAATAGTCTTCCCAAGTTCTTCTGAAGAAGGTCACAAGTGTTTATTTTCTGAAGACAAGCTTCCCAGACAAAGAAACAGACTCTTGAAGGAATATGGCTGCACCAGATCTTCTTGAAGGGGAAGAGCTTTGTTCACCTGCAGTTAGAACCTTGAACATAGACTTAGAAGAGAATTTGCCTATTGGGTGGAGGGTCCAAATTTGGGTGTCAGAGGAGGTGGAGATGTAGACTTCTTTAAGGGTCTGTAAAAGAGCAATTAGGTCAGAAATCTCTTTGTCCCTTGGGGTCTTCTAAGGTGTAGGTTCAAGGAGTTTTCAGCAGTTAGGTCCGGAAGGCAGGAAGAAACAGTAGCTTCTTGGTCTTGAGAAAGGTTGAAAAGTCTGGGAAAAGATGCAGCTAGGGTAGAATCTCCCGACCATAGGTCTTTCCAGAATTTTACTTTAGATTCATTCCCCACTTTTTATCCAATGACTGATAATGTGCTTGGCATGGCAACCTCTCCACCACCAGGCTTTGATACCAATTATGCTGGGATCTTGCCCAACTCAAGAACCACTTTGAGAGGGTGCTTCCTCCTGAAAGTGAGAATGGGAGAGAGATACAAAGAAAGAGAGAGATAATTAAGTGCTGAATCAAGGCATCCTTTGTTATTCCCTTCTTATTCTTACACATGTTGCATGCATCATGTCTAACAGATCTAACAGCTCTTGATTACAATTGGTTACAATCTGTTAAGCCGTTAGGCAGCTGGTGTCATATGGCACTTGGCCTTCCTCTAGATTTTTCGTTTTTTTGTTTTTTCGAATATACCTTCTCAGTAATAGGCCTTGCTCTAATAAAATCAACCTGTTCAGGGTCTCTAACACCCATAATTATTCACAAATTCTAAATATCAAATCTTCTTCCAAATATTAACTTTGATGACAAGGCACAATTGTTTAATTCTTTGATCAATGCTTATGATTGGCATGTTATAGTATTTCTTACCAAAAGACACATTTGCTCACTTTAAGTAAGCAACTGAAATTATAATGACAAGCAAGAAATCTTACAGGGGGTCTATTAAAGGAGCCAAACTTGATACATCCTCAGATGACGAAGGAAAAAAATGATCAAAGAGCTGGTGTTCAAGTTGGCAGACCTGCAAAAAGTAGTTTATAAGATAAATAGGGTGGTGTGGTTGAATGTGTCTTTCCTTACACCATATAAAAAGTTTCTTATACACACCATGAATCAGATTCAGGATGCAAAAAGGACGTTTCGAAAAAAGACAAATAAATAAAACTGTTGATAGAAGATTGAATAAAGAATATAAAATAACGACAAAAAACAAGATCTCTAATATTCAATACTATATTAGGCATGATCATATAACTTCTACATAGAGATAAAATAGGGCCAAATGATGGGGAATAGTATCTAAATGAGAACAGGGAGAATGTGTCCAGTATGAATGCTCAACTTAAATGATCTCTAGGAACTTAAGAACAACCATTGATGGCCTAGCTAGATAGTCCTTTTGTACAGTGGCAGATCCTTAGAGGTTAGTCTCTTGTTAAAGAGGAGTACTGTCTTTTCCTAAAATGCATATTGGTACGCATCTTGTCATTTTCTTACTTTTTGACATATAGTCACTACTCACAAAACAATTAACAGTCACCTTTTTTCTCACAAAATAATGATAAAACCAATGTTCAGAGAACTGGAATGGGCATAGAACCAGAAAAGGGAAAGGTTCACGAATCAATGGTTCAACTGCAGTCAAACTGGAGGTTGAACCATGATGATATATACATATATATTGCAGATTATATAAATACATTATACAACTGTTATCGTACTTGAATGTGATGGGTAAATTGTTAAAACTTTAGTTTTTAAAGTAAATAACCGGGGTTCAAGTCTTTTAACTTGCATTTTCTTTAAAAAACATGTGTATTAAAGCAATATATACAATAAAGAATCGGAAGTGTATACAATTAAAGAGATGGATTAATGGCAATTAGACAATACACATAATAAAAAGGTTACGGGTTCAAGCCTTATCATTAACATTTTGAAACTTCCATTCATTTGGTGACCGGGAGGTTCTATAAAACCAGGACCAGCTTACTGGTTTTCCAATTAAACTAGTCAGTCAGCGGGTTTTGACCAGTGCATGAGGCTCCCACCAATGCATGATCTGGGGAGGGACAGATGTACGCAGCCTTACCCCTACACATACAGAAAGGCTGTTTCCAAGATTTGAACCCTGGTCACCCATGTAGCAATGGAGCAACCCAACCGTTTCGCCAAGGCCCACCCTAATTGATGTGCTACAGGGCTTCATTAAATATACAGCATTCAATTGCAGAAGTAGCTTCCATCTGTAATCCTTTTCCAATACAAATGGAATCCTCAAGGAGATTGAGGCCCACCCTTCAATGGACTGAACTTACAAGCCTTTCAAGTCAATTTTGACTTGATATATAGAACTAAGAATTTTAATATTTTCCAACCATTTAATGCCAAAGGTCAGATATGTTTTTAATCACAAGATCTATGTAGGACATAAAAACCGGTGGATCTCAAGCCCCCTTCAGGTATGCCACAAGAAATTGTTTTTTTTTTCTTTTTTTGTTTCTCTATGAAGGTAAGTATCACATTATAATAGATGGAAGAAGAGGGACCCTCCAAGATCAAACCATACAAAAAAGGGGCTGATAGCTTTACACCAAGAGCATATGAACACGTAAACATCTAGCTCTTAATACTTCAAAATCAATGACAAATATAATTTGCTGCTGTTGAGAACAAAACTCTGAAAAACATGATCTGCCACAAGAAATTGTAGGTATAATGGTATTCTGAAAGTGTTTTACATCCTTCTGATATTGAACAGAGCCATCATTATCTTTTCAGTACAACCATACACCATAAGTAGATATCAGCATCGACTGTCCAAACATCTTGCTTTTAACAACCAGTGAAAATCAGTAAATCAAAGTAACAATAACAATTTACTGGACAGGCACAAGCTGTAGTCGTATGAGACTACTAACAGCCCAAGCTGTGGTGTATAATCAACAGGAAATTAAGAAGATGAGAGGAGAGAATGAGAGGAGAAAGAGAGAAGAAGAAGAATTCAAAGGAAGGGTTTTAGAAAAGAAGAGGAAACTTAATCTGCCGCCCCCTCTTTCTATTTATATTAATTCTGAAGTAAGGATAAGACTGCTTACATGGCAAAAATAAAATCATAATAAAGACTAATAAATAAAATCCTAATAAAAGACTAATAACTAATTGTGGACTGACTTAAATAACTAATAGTTGTATACGAGTACAATAGAAAGAGGTGGGGACCACATCAGTGGTTTCTACACAAGCACTCCATATCACAGGGACAGATGAATTTGAATAAGCTAAATTGTATTAATACATGTAAGAAGAGCCACATCCCATTTACAAAAGTTGCTAAAATTCAAGTTTGGATAAGCAGCACTCGATGGCTGTGTATATGCCCCACAACCATTGAGTGGTTGTGGAGCATATACACTTGATGGATGACATGGGGCATTATTATTGGCGAAACAGCCCTTGACACGGCCATTGAGTGCAGCTAATCCAGATTCCTATACCATGAGCATCTGTGCATCTAAAATTGTGCCATAAGAATTTTAGTCAACAAAATTGTCTGAAGCTAGCAAAACCAAAGACTTTGATCCCTTTTGTGTATAGATTATAGAAGGGGAGAAACAAAATTTCTATTATTTTCTAAAGATTATACTCAAATATCCTGATCTTATCATGAAAACAAAATGACCTGTGAAGGACAAGAGATGAATTTTTAAACAAATGGAACAACAGTTACATCTTTTTCTTTCCACCACTTGCCACTGGACATCCTGTTTTGAATGAAAAAGAACTACACTTTAATTGTAAGGTCCACCTGCATTAAGTACGCACATCCAGATCTAGTCAATGATGGCAAAGCCTCTTTCTTTGAAAATTCAGAGATCCGTTGATGCACTATGCCTCGTACCTAAAGGCCATAAACAAAACAGGAATAAATTATTACAATAGCAATAGATGACTAAATAGAAGGGAAGAAATAGTATTATTTATGGTGCGTATGTGTGTGCGCATGTAGAGAGAGAGAGAGAGAATGATTAACCATCAACTCACCAAGGAAAGGCGCTGTTCACAGTATAATCTGTGGCACTCTGTAAGAACCAGAGAATATTCTTTCCTTGATGATCTGCTTTCAATTTCCTCCAACACTGGCTTGAGCTGCAAAATTTTAAAACAATTTAGTCATCTCTGATTTTCTATTAGTCAAACAAAAGAGAGATCAACCAATCAAAATTTAATCTCCATAGCATCAAGACCCAGTCATGAGGATTTTGCCAGATTTTGTCCTGTTGTTAACGCCAAACCTCCAGACATGCATACAAAGGGCAAGAGGTGGGTATTTTTTATTCTAGAGAAATGGCTTTATTTCACCATAGACAACAAAGAAAATATTATTAAGCACCAAGGGGAAAAAAAAAAAAAAAAACATTGTTGACAGTTGTTTATGTATTCAGGTTTAGTACCATAAGGGTACTGTTGGAATTTCTCCTCTGTTTATATTGTTCAACTGTACTAGTATAAATAATAAAATCATTCTTTCG